CTCTTTTTGTTTGAGAATCCAGACCAGCCTGACATAGCAACAGTGGCTCAACCAATGGTATGAGTTTGGGGGTGGGGATTGTGCTTGTTAGACCAATAGCAGACGGAGCAGTTTTTTTTTTCTAGAAACCTGTTTGATGATAATCATTGCAATTCCATTTGGTGGCTCTAGTGGTGCAAAAAATTTCACATTAGCTCTCATAATTTTCAGATTTTACTCTGGAAAATGTGAGGGAAAAAAACTTGGAAAAAACAAAAAATCATTCAACTGGTACAGTAGCTATGCAACAACCAGAGAAACAAAGTCTTATCGTGCCATGTCTTTCCACATGACATGCACATTTGGAAAGATCCTCTTGCAAAATTTGATGCTTTGCCGCAGGCCTCCATTTCCTCCAATATAAATATGTAGCATTATCAAGACACTCATACTCTATCCAGAAAACATCAGTTGTGGGAGTCATCAGTGCCATGCAAACCGCCCACCTCTACATCCATCAGAACACGACTATTTCCTCTTTTATTACTTATAACAGCTATAAAACGCTTGGAAAAAGCGAGTGATCGTAGTCATATTATTAATTGTTAATGTAGCCATCAATACACTAACACCGTACACCACCCCCCTCCCCTCCCCTCAGAATACTTCAAAACACGAAAATTGCAGTAGTTTCATTCAGGCCACATCATGTTCTTATCCTCCAACATCACCACAATTCAATCTGATCTTTCCTCTTCATCCTTCTCCCCAGAATACTGAAAAATTGATCTGATGGCTCTGAATTGCATCCCTGCGGAACACTGCAATTTCAAACGCTCATACCTCATCATCCCGCTCGCAGAAATCACCGCCACACCACCGAAGGCTGAAACTATGCTGTTCTGTGACGACAACGTGCTGAATCCCAAATATACATGACTGCTGACTGAAGCCCTCGAATTCTGAGGTCTAGGGTTGCATTATATTGGGATTTAGCAGATTATTCAGAAATAATTGGCATATTCCTTCCTTAACTTTAATGCCCCTTTTATTATAACAGCAAAAAATATTATATCATGAGATGTTTGCTCTTCAGATGGTCGAAATTAATGGTCAAGATCCATTGGTATCACATTAATGACACAAATTCCAGGTTTGACGGCAGTTCCGACGAATGAAAGCGGGCAATATATTTCTGATTCAGTCTCAGATGCTCAGAGTACTGCGTATTTCAGCTCAATGATATCATTTAGCAAACCTTCAATCTAAGTTAATTTTCACCAGCAGTTCAACATCATCACATCTCTGATGGTCATTGAACAGCATTGAACATTGAACGCCGAAAATAGTGGAAGATAAGTACCAAGTAAAAAAATCAAGTAAAGGATGCATATAATAAGGAACAACTGCAGTCACTATTGTACAGACATCATTACATGCAGTTTACAGACAGGATTGTGTTTATAGAGGGAGTGACGTCAGGTCGATGAGTGGTTTGGGTGCTTTGATCCAACCCTGAGTGGAAGCTGGGAATGTTTTGTAAAAAACAATTTCAGCTATTTGTGTTAGGCCTAAATATGTGTTTAACTCCAAAGCATGCATGTGATAAATCTTTTAAGATCTATTAATATCTTAAAAAGAGGCATTTCAGCAAACACCAGATTTTCTATGTCTTATTTTACAGCATATAATTTTCACATTAAAAATGAAACTAAAATGCATATAAATTCGCTCTTATGAAAATGTCAGCAGAAAAATCTAATTGGGACTGCAAGAGAAATGCAGTATATATAGTCCATAAAAAAGCTCATATACTACGCCAAGACCACCTGTGTGCTGCCTGATGGGAGTCTCTTTTACATGAGTTGTTTATAACTCTTATTAAAGTCAAATAAATAAACCCAATGTCTCACCACACCCAGTATTCTCTGGACTGATCTGACCAGCAGCGAGCCAGAACTCCTGCACAGACATTGACTGTCCAGTGCATGTGGAAACACAAGAACAGCCAGCTTCCTAGGAACATCCCAGCTGGATTCATTTATCCTGTCAACAGAAGATGTCAAACTTTCCTTTCTTTCCTGTAAAACCATAGAATGATCCAATGATCATGAAACGGGAGGATTTAGGCCTAGAGTATGATCTGATGATGATGCCAATTCCCACACCAGACCGAACAGTGGCATTTTCCATAATTGCTGTGAAAAAATGGACACTTGGGTTACAGTCACACCATAAGTCAAAGTGCCAAATTCAGATTTTGCTGCTTAAATCCAGTATTCGGTTATGCTTGCTCACGTGACTTTTTAAATGTGCCACATAATAGACTGAAGAGGCCACACAACTAAATTGACTTTTATGTCTAAAACACCCAACCCTGGTATTTATTATTGTGTTTTATTTATTATAATTCATGAATAATATATACATATTTATTTTGTTCATTTAAAAAAATCTATTTATTCATAAAATAAAATTCTTAAAATATTAACAACTAATGCCTTGACATTGCACCACAGTCCTACATATTCTTTACAGTAAATCAAGGGCACAATTATTAAATTGCTTTAAAAATAAACAACAAAAATGCAATAATTCTGACCTGGCTGTTTTAACAATTATTAAATTGCTTTAAAAATAAACAACAAAAATGCAATAATTCTGACCTGGCTGTTTTAACAATTATTAAATTGCTTTAAAAATAAACAACAAAAATGCAATAATTCTGACCTGGCTGTTTTAACTGATATGTTATGGTGCAATTTTTTTAATAAATATCCAGTATTTGTTCAATTTTGAATAAGGCCCAGATTTTAATTGAAAATTCCATTTAATATGTTTTTTGCTGTTTGCACTGTCATCCATTAAACAGATCTGACATTCACAGTCTTATAATAGACCTTGATACTGGCACAACACTAACTACAGTTCATGAATGAATATCTCATTTTAATGGCCAATTAGCCATTATCTGTCTAACAACAGCTGGTTACTTAACAGGCATTAATTGTGGTGTTATATACTGTTGTGTTTTCATAACCTTACTGTGCTGTGGCCCATGGGATTGATGTCTATTTGAAATCCAGCCCAGAGTTTCATTGTATCTGACAGAGCAGCTCTGGTTCAGTCATTCTCTCTTATCTTCTTGGCTGTATACATAGGCGGAGCGTGTGTAAGGCTGGTAGACAGTGTAGACAGCATCAGTGATTATAACGATAGGTTTTTTTTTTGTGTGAGTGCTTAAACTCGCGATAGATCGAAGTTAGTGATAATGTTCTTCACTCGCTTTCTGTATATAATTTATTCGCTGTTTGAATAAATCTGAAAATGAAAACATTATAATTAGCAACTTACAGTTTTTTTTAATACAAATTCAGTCCTATTAAAACTATTTTATTAGCCTACATGACACCCATATCAGGTACTTGCCTAAAAAGACGAGTTTATGATGTTTGTAGTTAATAGATTGCACTAACATTAGGCTACTTTTAGCCTTACCCTGGAGTTGGTTCACCCTCCGCCTATGGCTGTATATTACACAGAATGAGTGCACCTGCTCCCCTGATTACACCTATGCTATCAAAAATATGTGCTTAACTCATTTACCGAAGCACTCGCTGCCTCTGTCTTTGTAATTACTGCAGATTAGGGACTAATATCTAATTATGCCTTAATATGCTTTAATGCATTTTTAATGACAGCTCGGTGTTCCAGTCAAACTCTCGGAGCGATTTGGGAGATGTTTCGAAGCGGTGAGAGAGAATCTCAACAGTCGTATGTTGGCGATGGAAAGGTTTATCTTACTATGCTCTGGTTCAAACGGAAACAAACTGACACTTAGTAGTAAGTAATTAGGTAACTTAATAGTTAGTTTTTTCATGCTCTCTTAAAGCTGTATTTGAGGCTGCCTGATTTGATAGAAGCATGTACAGCTGAATTAAAGTGTTTACAAATACTTGAAAAATCCTCTGAATTTCAGAATGAATGGACTCTAAAATGTGATCTGATGAAGACAGTGATAAATCAATACCAGTTCCAGAGGCTTCACTGTATAAATCCATATCCCTTGAAGCTCTGATGGATGCATCATTTTTTAATCCTTTTGAAACAATCACGAAAATGGTTGCACAGCCATAATTATTAAAAATTAAATTAAAGTTAAATTAAAATATCAATTAAAAATATACCTAAATGACATGCAAATTCTCAGATGCATGGCTTAATCTGAAGCGAAGATAATTCAAAATAATTCAGAGACCATGGTTAAAGACATTCTTAGGGCCAGTTAAAGAGAACTTTAGAAAAATTTAGAAAAGTCAGATATTTTGTTTTTGTTTACTGTAATGTTTTTTTATATTTGTTTTTATTATGTTTTATTACATTGTTGTTTTTAATAATAATAAATTGTTGTTAAGAAGAAGAAACAATTCATCACATAATATAATTCATTAGCTCAATATTAGAGAATACTGCAGATGTATAGAATTCAACTGATGTACAAATGATCAAATGATCAGCATCTCAATCGTTCAAATTTTTATTTATTTTTTATTATCAACATGCAAATACACACCCTGTTATGGAAGAAAGCCACACCAGTAAGCACCTGTTTAATGTGCTTTTGTTTTTAACACTGCTGTCTTGTGATTTGGCACTGATCCATCTCTGTTTACTCTAATGAAATGTGTTATGCTCTGCATGGTATGACCAGAGATGGATGCAAATTGCATTGCGTCTCTAATTGGTAAGGCCTGATGTTTATGAACTGATTCCTGTTAATTAATACTAGATCGTCAAATCGAGGAGCTTGCATATTTTCTGCATAAATTATGGCTAATTGGATCACGCATCACCCTAACGCAAATTGCATTCACAATCCTTCAAATCAAACTAGAACAATTCAGAATGGACAGAACATTGCTTTAGCCAGCATTACTCATGACAATTGAGATCAGCTGGCCAAATCATGATAAATCACCACAAGAGCTTTTCATCAAGAGATCTTGGAAACTGAACATTTACGGGACGACGGCTCTTGATTAAAGGACTTCAGCTCATCAGCACTGTGTGATTATGCTACTGCAAAGAAAGCCAAGATTATAAACAAAGCAGACCAAATCACTCCATGATCTATTTGACTGCAAATTTTAATTTTGGTATACTGTATCTCCCACTATAATAAGAAGGACATCTTGGGACTAAAAGACTATTGACCCCGATTTCCAACTACAAATTTTAGTTATCCATAACATTTGTATTTAAAAAAAATAAAAATGGCAATTTTATGGTTGTCAAAAGAATAGATTATATATAAATGTAATAAGTTGTATATAATTATATTATAATTAGATATAATTATAGTATATATATTGTTTTTTAAAAAGTACAAAAAAACAATAAAGTGTAATAATATAAATTTTCTCTAAAAAAATATAATAATATAATATAATACCGAGCTGTAAGAGTAAACACCTCAAAAAATGTTAACATATTGGATTTTGATGCCATGCTTGCACAATGCAAGTAACTAATCTCTATAACGCTTCTTGGGTATTTGACCTTAGACAAGATCATTATAAGACTAACAGGGTGCCTGTGTTTACCTGTGATGTCGTGCTGCTTGAAGGAGTCACTGTAGACTTGGTGTTGATTGGGACAGTGTTTCTTCAGCCATTTACACACGTCCTGCTGGCTCCACAGCGCCACTGGTTTGGACAGCTTCACAGTTCCCGGCTAGGCAAGAAAAAAAAAACAGCAAAAAATGTAAATGCAGATTTCCCCCCCCTCTTTTTTCCCCATCTTTTAAAGAAAGAGTGCAGCTAGAAATAAAAATTCTGTCATCATTTGCTCACCTTAATACCTGCATGACTTAATTTTTTTCTGTGGAAAACAAAGAAATTAGGAATGTGTCGGCTGTTTTATTCCATGAAATTACAATAAAGCAGGATTGAAGCATTCAAGATTCAAAGTGTTCTGAAGCCATACGATACCTTGGTGAGAAAAACAAACTGAAATATGTGAAACTGAACCACTTCACACGACAAGTCGAATGATTCATTTACCAATGATCTGGTCATTAAGTTCAACTCGGTGATTATCATTGAATAAATAACTTCAGAAGACTTCGAAAACATGAGTACTTTTATTTGTGATCTTTTTCTAAGGCTTAAATGCTTCAGTTCCCATTCATTGTAATTGTGTTAAAAATAGCAACTGACACATTTTTAAATGTGTTCCACAGAAGTCATCTATTTTGGAACAAGGAGGGTGAATAAATAATAACAAAATGTCATTTTTGGGTGAACTATCCCTTTAATGACTGCCTCCTGTTTGAATGCCACTACTTGCCATTTGAGTGTGGTGTGAGCTGAATTCAGAGCGTCTGGAAAAAGGGCCATTGTGACAGCGCTGTTGAGAGCTGAAGTGTAAGCTACCTTTAGGAAGCAGGCTAATTCAGCAGCGACAGAGCTCAGGCAAACAAACAGACGCGGAGTCAGTAGAAACAACCTCCAGTGGGGCGAGAGTCACAGCCCAACTAAAAACAGCACTGAGCTAATTAACCCAAGATATCTGCCACTGAGCTGCAAAGGCAGGCCCGCAGAGCCGTGATCGCAAACAGAGTCTTGCAAAAGGATTGATGAGGTTTAATATATAAAGGCATTGAAAGTGCAGTGTGAGTGGAGATACCGCCATGAGCTCCATTTCACGGAAGACTTTAAGAAGTTGTGAGGATGGAGTTCCTGCAGGTAGGAGACAAGTGGGAATGGCTTTGCAGGTGGATTCCCAGCCAATTAAATGGAGATGAGTGACAGATGAGATGTTGAGGGGAAGAAAAGTGAGCTTTTAAATTATAACACACACACAAACACAATGTCACAGTCATTCTGACCTTGGTGTAATTAGACAATTCAAGAATTTTCATGTTACTATAGCAACGAAGCATGATGACTTGAAGATATGAATGCACAGCACTAAAATCCTCATCTATGACAACAGGAGTCAGAACTCATATTAGAGGCATTGTAGACTTATGATTTGGGTTGATCAATATAAAGGGTTGATCAATATAAACAAAATATTTATTATTAAAGATGAAGGACAAAAATACATGGCTTCAATGAAAATAACAATGTATGTTTTTATTTATGCATTTTATTGTTTGATGGAATGAACATTTGATTAATTTGTCTATTTCTCAAATATACGGCTCAGGAGTTTATATATGATTCACAATAAATTCAACTAAAGTTTAATAAGACAGACGGACAGCTTAAATCAGAGCAACAAAGCAGACCCTGTGCATTAGAGTGCCATCTTGTGGTGAATAGCTTAACTATAAAAATATTTGTAATGCCAGTGAGTTCAATGTATGCAGTGAGAAAATATGCTAGCTTTTGTTCACACTTGATGTAAAATGATATTGTCAATTCAGCTTCTCTTATCTGAATGTATACTCTGCATCACTTATTAAATGACAGCGACAGAAACTGTATAAACGGGGGGTTATATTTCACCTCAAAATCAAAAGAAAAAAAGAAATTATATTTTGATAAAGAAACAAAGCCTATTTTGGACCATTAAACTAAAAGTTAAAAGATTTATCATTTTGTAATAACTAAATAAAATAAAAACACTGGGTCCAGACAGTATGATTTCTATCACTGACAAAATCTTAATGGTCCTATATACAGTGCTGCTTGAAAGTTTGAGAACCCTTTAGAATTTTCTATATTTCTGCATAAATATGACCCAAAACATAATTAGATTTTCACACAAATCCTGAAAGTAGACAAAGGGAATCCAATCAAACAAAGGAGGCAAAATATATACTTTGTCATTTATTTATTTATTGAGAAAAATGATCCGGTGTTAAATATTTGTGAGTGGCAAAAGTATGTGAATCTTTGCTTTCAGTATCTGGTGTGACCCCCTTTTGCAGCAATAACTGCAAGTAACGTTTCTTGTAACTGCTGATCAGTCCTGCACAAAGGCTTGTAGGAATTTTACAGAACCACTTCAACTCTGTGATGTTGCTGGGTTTCCTCTGATGAACTGCTTGCTTTAGGTCCTTCCACAAAATTTAAATTGGATTAAGGTCCGGAATTTGACTCAGTCATTCCAAAATGTTAACTTTGTTCTTCTTTAACCATTCTTTGGTAGAACAACTTGTGTGCTTGGGGTCGTTGTCTTGCTGCATGACCCACTTTCTCTTGAGATTCAGTTCTCGGACAGATGTCCTGACATTTTCCATCAGAATTTGTGGGTATAATTCAAAATTCAGTGAACAGATGGACTCTAATTTCACCTTCAAATTAACAGCTAATCCTATAGATTCACATACTTTTGCTGCTCACAGATATGTAATATTGGATCATTTTCCTGAATAAATAAATGACAAAGTATATATTTTCATCTAATTTGTTTGATTGGGTTCTCTTTGTCAATTTTCAGAACTTGCATGAAAATCTGATGATTTTTGGGTTATATTTATGCAGAAATATAGACCATTCTAAAGGTTTCACAAACTTTTTAAGCAGTACTGTATATTTCTTTATGTAATATATAATTTGTCAGATGCCTGAAATGTTCCAGTGATTCTTGTCCTGCTGGACTGTAAAAAGTCACAATTGACATGAAAACCAAGCTGTTCTTACAATATGGCAAGTGACACGATAAGCTCTTCCTTTTGTAATATTCATTCATGTAAGAATCATTAAAGATAATAAGCAAATTTAACAAGAATTATAAGAAGCTTTTGGGGTAAATTATAGGAAGCATTCAGTCTTTTTATACAGTATCTCAAAAATTAGTGATATTCTCCACTAAATAAAAAATAATAATAATAATAATTTTACAAAAGATTTCTATTTTAAAGAATCCTGAAAAAATATTAAGCAACAAAACTGTTTTCAAAATTGATAATAAGAAAAGCTTCTTGAGCACCAAATCAGCATATTAAAATAATTTCTGAAGCATCATGTGACACTAAAGACTGGTATAATGGCTGCTGAAAATTCAGCTTTGCTATCACAGGAATAAATTAAATTTTTAAATATTAAAATAGAAAATGTATTTTAAATCGCAATAATATTTCATAACATTTTACAATATTACTTTACTAAAGTTTTGAGCGCTTCTCGGCTCCAGTGGCAGCTCGTGGGTTTTAAAATAGAGGAGGCACACTAATTGTATTGGTCTGGGATCCCTGCCGATTATTCTTATTATTATTTGCTTAACCACTTTAAATTGGCTTTTTGGTTGCTTTTAGTCAGAAAACGACATACATGCATACATACAGCAAGATAATATAATTTCACTTATCTGGCCTATCACTTGAGGCAAACATCCATCCCTTCTTAAAAGTCTGTGTTAAAAGAGAGCTGCCTGTTGTGCTATTTAATTAAGCCGACTGCTGTAGCCTATATCCAGCTTAGGCGTGTTCTCCCTTTATTTAATTTGTATACACTGTTTGAATGACAGCTTGGTAAAGCTGTTGGCAATCCAATATTCAATATCGCTACTTATAATAAGTACTTGGTACATTATCAGCGCAGCGCAAGACGTTCAAACTAATAGCACGTAATTTACATCTCTATGATGATTGATTGATATACCAGAATGGAGGCTAGCCTCCCCAATGAGGTTTCTTTTCTCAACACTCCTCAGCACTGAAAGTGAACACTCGATGGTGATTGGCTAATTTTTTTTACCAACGGAGGCACGAGAGCTCAACTCTCCCCCGACCTCCCCCTCCCCTTCTCATTCACAATAGAAAAGTGGCGCTTTCCAACTTCAGTAACATGTTATGGTATTACAGCTGTGAAATTACAAACAAAAAATACACATTCTGAGACATGAACTGAAATGAATGGTGAATTTTATTAACATTAAATCGTCGTCGTCCCATTTTCACCTCAAAATTTGGGGGAAGCTGTGCCTCCCCCGACAAGCCGCCACTGCTTTTAAGTAGTGTAATTATAGATGTCATTAGTGTTTGAGATCTCGGTAATAGTCTTTAATCTATTCTCACCCTGCAGAGCTCAGATTCTGAGACGGATCGCTGAGGTGGAGATCGTCGCTGGAAACCAGGACTCCGGTCCTGAAAGCCTTGGCTGTCATCATCCAGTCCATGATCAACAGACACTTCCTCCAGGTGTGAGGTCACATCCTCTGCACACACCTGATGGTCAATCCCATTCTGGGTCAGATTGCAGTGAACAGCTGTGGAAATCAACAAGTCCAAAACTGGTTAGTGACCAATAATGACCATAAGGTGGAGCCATTGTATGTGGATGTGAACCTACTGTAACTGATGACTCTTTCCAGACTATATAACACTAAGACATTAAATGACTCACAGATGAAGGTTTAACACATGATAGTCTCTTGTGAATAAGTTATTCACAGTAATTCAGTTTTACATCATGCAGAATGTATCTTAGAGCTAAAATGTGTAATGTTTACTGTCTATGTAAAGTATTTTAACAATGTTAATTAAAACAACTACAAGTAACCAATAATGTGAAATAAGCACAGGACTATCTGTCTGCCTGTTTAAACAATGACAGATGGAAGGAGTGTTCAGAAAATGTTGCTTTAAAGAGCACCTCCTATGATACAATTTTTTTTAATATGTAATGCAAAATACAAATTGAAAAGCCAAAATTGACGTTTTTCCAGGTCTCTGAAGAATATAAAGCATGAATTTCAGCACTTAAGGCACTCATTTAAAAAAGAACAAAAAAAATCACATTGTCCTCTAGATGGCATGAGAGACAAAATTATGCATCTGGCAAGGCCTGATAGACGCCACAGCATTTCTATAAATCAGATTGAAATCAGATATGTCTCATGCACTTTTTAGGACAAACCATAATGTTAATGGACACAGAATATCTTGTGAGTTGTGAGGGCTTTGATATTTCTCAGAAAGAACAGAATCATTTGATTAATATTTACAGACCATAATAATATCAATAAATAAATAAAAATAATATTAAAATTCAATCTTAAAAGCTGATCCTTACACAGCACATTTAAAGCTTTTTCTGTCATTGTGACAAACTGCAGAGCTTTAAAGAGTAAAACACTTGAATAAATCCATGTCATGTTATCTGGAGTGAATTGAGGCCAAGCAAATGAGAGCCAGACGAAGCTTGTTCTGGCAGAAATTACACAAAGCTGAAGACTGAATTAAAAGCCCAAAATAAAACCGAGTGCTGCCTCATATCGTGGAAACATAGGGTGGTTAATGACTAACCACAGATCTCTAAGACAACAATATGTGATTAAGTTCAGAGTACATCAGACTAGAAAATCATCACTGAAGCATCATATACGCCAACTATTTAATGGTTAATAATTCAATAATTTCCATCCCATCTGTTTGCGAACAATAAACAAGCAGCTTACAACAGAACATTTAACTACAACCTTATGTCTTTTTAAAAACATGCATGAATCTTTTTCTGTGGAACACAAAAGGATATGTCCAAGCAAAATGTCCAAGCTGACCTTTTCCATACAATAAAAGTAAATGGTGAACACCTTAAATTTCAGTCTATTACTGACAAAAAGGAAAACAATTGATACATTGCATAATTGATAAGAACTACTTTTGCGATGCTTTATGGTGCTTTTATGTCCTTTTTGAAGCTTGGCTGCTCCTGGTTCCCACCCACTTTCATTTGATAGGCGAGAGCACAAGCGCAGCTCGGACATTCTGTGAAATCTCTTTCGGTGGATCAAAGAAAGTCATAGGCCCTACAGGTTTGGAATGAGATGAAGGTGAGTAAATTATAAGAACTGCAATTTTTGGGTGAACTACTTGGATGATAAGCTCAACAAGCTCTCAATGCTAACACCATCCTGTGGCATTGCGTAACAGGTCATCAAATGAATCTAAGCCATGATGACATCTGCTGAATACCATTAGTGAGAGAACGACTGATAACTTGAGCAGAACAAATTGCTCTGCTATTATTTACTGAGCCCCTGTTGCTGTGAATGCTGGGAATATTCATCCTGCCTTGATATGTCTGTTCCAAAACAGACAGAGCCAGTGCATCTACAAGAAAGAATCAGTCTTGAAACAAAAGCAACTTAGCATGCAAAGCACGAAGTGCTTCCTTCTCTCAGATTCTCTCCCTTTCTTATTTCTCCATGCTTCGCTCTCCATCTTTCTTAGGTTCCACAAAATTGAAACCATTCAGTCAGGTTGTCTAATGGCCAGGCGCTCCACAGGATAGATAAATTATACATTTAATTAATCTCACAGACAGAGCATTGTCCTTGATTTGAGTGTCTGAAGGGGCAATTTCTTGAGCAGCAAATCAGCATATTAGAATGATTTCTGAAGGATCATGCGACACTGAAGACTGGAGTAATGATGCTGAAAATTCAGCTTTGCCATCATGGGAATAAATTACATTTTTAAATATTAAAATAGAAAAATAGTTATTGTAAATGAACTTAGATTAGTAATATACAATTATTACTATTTTTACTATATTTTGATCAAATAATTACACCTCTGTGAGCATGAGACTTTGTTGAAAAACATTTTTAAAATCCAAACTTCTGAATGGTAGTGTATGCTTTCTGAAGTGATACAATAGATTTGTTTGACAAACAGCCTTTTTGTCAACTTTTTATCAACTTTTTATCAGAAATGCCCTCTGTTGTACCTTATGAAGCATAACATGATTTTGGATGTCAGTTACATTATCAACCATAACTGGTTTTTGCATTTCAACCATGATGCCTGATGTCATATTTGCAGTACATTTACATTTAGGCATTCAGCCCGTTTGGTCAATGCATTTCAGTGCAATGGAGTCCATTTTACCTAGAAATCAAATATATGACCTTGACTTGTACTGTTACAGAAATACTGAAATATTTAAGAGGAATGTTTGAAGGAAAAAAATGTTTCAGTTTGTTCATCACAATATTACACAGTTTGCGATTATTCAAAAGAAAACAAAGGGTTGATTTTTGTAGGGTTGTGATTTGTAAAAAAATGCCTTTTTTTTTAATCTACTGTCCCTTTAAACCAGGAGAAGGAAAGCAGTGTTGGTTTACAGAGTGAAGCATCTCCTATAATGCTAAAGGCCGGAAAGGATGAATGAACAGAGGATCGATTCAGCTCAATAGTGTCTGAACATCATGACTCGTATTACCGTTAGCCTCAGCAGTATAGTGAGCATATGATCTGCAGTGCTCTAGTGTGCTTCATGGTGGGTTAGGCTGTGCTTGTGATGGCTATGCAATCTGAAGTAAGGCTAGATGGCAGGTCATTTAAAAGTGGAGCGGTTTGTTTGTGCACTCAGTGTGTGACCCAGAAACAGAAGTGGAGTTAGTTGAGAATCAGCTGATTCAGAATATAAATGTACATCATTAGTTGGATGAGGTGAAGAAATAAAGCTTAGGGTCTACTTTGAAGGCAGTTCACTTTGAATGTTGTCAACTGCTCTGACACACTGTTGGAGGCTGGAAGCAATAACATATTACAGTATATACATTATCCACAAGGAGAAACCAACAACTATGACCAAACCAAGCTCTTCTCCATGACTTAAGGACTAAACTGACGTGATTTAAATCCTTTCCAGGAAAAGCAGAGTTTTGTGTTAATTTCATTTAGAGGCTAATTACGATTTGATAACACTTTTTTTACATTAACTCATTTACAAAGCACTTGTGAAAATATGAACTATGAATGTATTAGATCACTTTAAAACAAAACATACACTATACTCTTCATAAGTTTGGGTTTGGTAAGATTTAAGATTTTTAAAGAAGTCACCAAGGCTGCATTTATTTGAACAAAAATAAAATAAAATAGAAATACAATTTAGAATGACTATTCTATTTTGATATATTTTAAAATGTAATTTATTCCTGTGATGACAAAGCTGAATTTCCAGCATCTATTACTGATCAGAAATAATTCTAGCATTTCTTATTATTATCATTTCTTATTATCAATGTTGAACAGTTGTGCTGCATGCTTAATATTTTTGTGGAAATTGTTATACATTATTTTCAGGGTACTTTAATAAATACATAGTTTAAAAGAACAGCATTTATTTGGAATAGAAATCTTTTGTAACATTATAAATGTCTTTACTGTTAATTAGTGTATTCTTGCAGAATAAAAGTATTATTATTATTTTTTTTAAAGAAAGAAATATTGATGTAAGAAAGGAAAACATGATGTCATTACTATTTAGAATAAATTTTTTCTTCTTCCAAGTAAATCTTGACCTATAGTATCATATAAACATTATGCTCATCATTACTACGGTGGCAGAGAGAGCTCAACGTGCTGCAAATAAAAAAAAAACACATGCAAATAGAAAAAACCCCCATCAAATTAGGAAAACATCTTCATCAGTTTGACAACACATGCGCTGCAAATACGCACAACACAACCAAATACAGAAACGCGCTGCAAATACGCAAAGACCACATTGGAAATGTATAAGAGAACCATAACAAGTGACAAACCTGGCTGGGACAGGCTTCAATGTCTACTCTAAAAAGGTGCAATTTTTATTTGTTTTAACATCCTGATCATATGATTCCTTAGCTTGTTTCGATATTATTAGCCTAAATAAGCTGACGAAATACTTTAAGTAAGCTGGCTAATTTACTTTTACAACTTCCCTTATGAAAATTAACCATGGTTTTACTAGAAAAAAAACATGGTTACTATAGTTAAACCATGGTAATCACAAATTACACTAACCATAGTTTAACCATGGTATTTGTGTAGTTACACAAATGGTAATCACCAAACAAAGCAAAAAAAAACGCTTTTTAGTATCTGGTCATGCGAGTATTTGCAGCGCGTTTATTTATTTGGTTGTGTTGTGCATATTTGCAGCACATGTGTTGTCAGACTGATGAAGATGTTTTCTTAATTTGCTGGTGCTTTTTCTTAAGTTGCAGCACGTTGAGCTCTCTCGGCCACTGTACATTACACATCATACACGGTAAATAACAGATAAATATTACAAATGATTATCAGCAGTGCTTAATGAAATTAAGAGTGTCAGAAGGCTGCTGTGAGATGAACATACTGAATTTTTGGCCCTCTGTCTAACTAGGAAAGCTTTTAAAAATGTAAAACTTCACTGCATTTAGTGACTGTCACAGGAATGAGATGAACATTTCCAAATTTTAACCTCTTAGCTTGCTGCTAAGAAAGTTCAAGC